CATCACCCATGCTTCACACCCATATAAGAGCGTTGGTAAAACTATACTCTCATACATTCCCCTCTTTGCCTCCAAGGACAAAGTTCTTTGTCTCCACAGACTCCTAAGTGCACCACTCACCCTTTTCCCCTCATCAATTCTTTGATTCACCTCATCTTTCATAGACCCATCTGCTGACACGTCCACTCCCAAATATCTGAATACATTCACCTCCTTCATACTCTCTCCCTCCAATCTGATATCCAATCTTTCATCACCTAATCTTTTTGTTATCCTCATAACCTTACTCTTTCCTGTATTCACTTTTAATTTTCTTCTTTTGCACACCCTACCAAATTCATCCACCAATCTCTGCAACTTCTCTTCAGAATCTCCCAAGAGCACAGTGTCATAGCAAAGAGCAACTGTGACAACTCCCACTTTATGTGTGATTCTTTATCTTTTAACTCCACGCCTTTTGCCAAGGCCCTCGCATTTACTTCTCTTACAACCCCATCTATAAATATATTAAACAACCATGGTGACATCACACATCCTTGTCTAAGGCCTACTTTTACTGGGAAATAATTTCCCTCTTTCCTACATACTCTAACTTCAGCCTCACTATCCTCGTAAAAACTCTTCACTGCTTTCAGTAACCTACCTCCTACACCATACACCTGCAACATCTGCCACATTGCCCCCCTATCCACCCTGTCATACGCCTTTTCCAAATCCATAAATGCCACAAAGACCTCTTTAGCCTTATCTAAATATTGTTCACTTATATGTTTCACTGTAAACACCTGGTCCACACACCCTCTACCTTTCCTAAAGGCTCCTTGTTCATCTGCTATCCTATTCTCCGTCTTACTCTTAATTCTTTCAATAATAACTCTACCATACACTTTACCAGGTATACTCAACAGACTTATCCCCCTATAATTTTTGCACTCTCTTTTGTCCCCTTTGCCTTTATACAAAGGAACTATGCATGCTCTCTGCCAATCCCTAGGTACCTTACCCTCTTCCATACATTTATTAACCCTTTGAGGGTCGACAGGCCCTCTCCGAAACTCGTTCTCAGGGTCGGCCAAATTTCAAAAAAAAAAAAAATTATTTTTTCTTATGAAAAAATAGTTTTTTTTTTCTAAACATTATAGGATAAACAAAAAAAATTTACCATCAATACTTACGGAGATATGGATGCATGAAGTTTGCAGAAAATGAGCCGCGTATGGCAACAGCGGCGACTGCCGCTCACCCGGTAAACTTTAGTTTACTTGTATTTGAAGGTTTGTTGTTTTTTTCACTATTTTATTTTTTCACATAACTTATGTGGCCTATGAGACCAAAGTAAGGTGCAATGTACGTATATACACTCGTTGTATACAACACAATAAGCACACAAACATAATTATCAATATATTGTTTACAAAACTTGTTTACAAAAACAAACAATACAAAACATTGTTTATTACTATTGTTCTATAATATATATACCAATATACAGTCACTGAACATATTCCTACAAGTTCTGCAGCTTGTGGAACTCTGAAACATGGTGTCATACACAATGGTGTTTTATCTTTCTCCCTCATTCTATCTCTTTCAATCTGTCTCTCTCTTTCTATCTGTCTGTCTATCTCTGTCTCACAGGTACACATAAATACAAGTATACATAGTATAAATTACCTAGGATAACCCAAGAAACCCAGACAAACTGCTATACTCTGCTTGAAGATGTGAGTAAAAGTGATGACACAGTCTTGTGGCTCTGAGACAGAGAGCTAGACGGATAGACAGGGAGCTTGACAGACAGGCAAATACAGACAGAAATGTTAGTATACCAGCAAAAACAAAGGGAGGGAGATGTTTATCTCATCTTTTGGCATCAGCTCTACCCTCATTTACCCTCATCAAACGTCAGCACTTATCAGATGTTATCTCCCCTTATCTTGTTACTGTCATGGGTGAACATTTATTATTACCTATTATTATTATTATGTATTATTATTATGTATTATTATTATTATGTATTATTGTTATCATTACGTATTCTTCTTCTTCCTCCTCCTCCTCTTCTTCTTCCTCCTCCTCCTCCTCCTCCTCTTCTTCCTCCTCCTCCTCCTCCTCCTCCTCCTCCTCTTCTTCTTCCTCCTCCTCCTCCTCCTCTGCCTCCTCCTCCTCTTGCCTCCTCCTCCTCTTGCCTCCTCCTCCTCTTGCCTCCTCTCCTTGCCTCCTCCTCCTCTGCCTCCTCCTCCTCCTCCATTCTTGGAACAAGTTTGAAGAGCTTGTAGTTCATAATCACTATCACTATCATCACCAATGCTCACATCTGAGTCTGGGATTTTGGAAAATAGGAGTTTCCTCTTTGATTCTGGTACAACTGAACGTGAACAAGACGGCCCAGCACCAGAGGTGGAAGGCTGTGGGTTGTCTGGGTTTTCCTCACTATTACCCATATTATGGTCATTAGTTTCGGTCAAAACCTCACCAGAACCTTGAAACTCATCTTCACTGTCACTTCCATCTGTATTAGAACTGTCACTGGGGAACAAAAGTGTCCCAATTCGCCGAGGAGTGAGGAACTTCTTACCACAGGGCACGGTGGAAATTGTGTACTATGATGGCATTCCCACAATGCACCACTGGGCCCCAGATTTTTTTCCTACTGCGCACACCCACCACACAGACCTATTCTCTCACATCTAGGCTTATCAGCCTTTTCCTTTGAGATTTGAGGCCGCTAGAATTTATGCGTACTAGTACGACAAAAACCCCTACGCGTAAGACGTACTAGTACGACCAAAACCCTCAAAGGGTTAAATAATTGCACCAACCACTCCAAAACTATATCCCCACCTGCTTTTAACATTTCTATCTTTATCCCATCAATCCCGGCTGCCTTCCCCCACACTCACAACTGGCTCTTCCTCATTCCTACAAGATGTTATTCCTCCTTGCCCTATACACGAAATCACAGCTTCCCTATCTTCATCAACATTTAACAATTCCTCAAAATATTCCCTCCATCTTCCCAATACCTCTAACTCTCCATTTAATAACTCTCCTCTTCTATTTTTAACTGACAAATCCATTTGTTCTCTAGGCTTCCTTAACTTGTTAATCTCACTCCAAAACTTTTTCTTATTTTCAACAAAATTTGTTGATAACATCTCACCCACTCTCTCATTTGCTCTCTTTTTACATTGCTTCACCACTCTCTTAACCTCTCTCTTTTTCTCCATATACTCTTCCCTCCTTGCATCACTTCTACTTTGTAAAAACTTCTCATATGCTAACTTTTTCTACCTTACTACTCTCTTTACATCATCATTCCACCAATCGCTCCTCTTCCCTCCCGCACCCACTTTCCTGTAACCACAAACTTCTGCTGAACACTAACACTACATTTTTAAACCTACCCCATACCTCTTCGACCCCATTGCCTATGCTCTCATTAGCCCATCTATCCTCCAATAGCTGTTTATATCTTACCCTAACTGCCTCCTCTTTTAGTTCATAAACCTTCACCTCTCTCTTCCCTGATGTTTCTATTCTCCTTGTATCTCATCTACCTTTTACTCTCAGTGTAGCTACAACTAGAAAGTGATCTGATATATCTGTGGCCCCTCTATAAACATGTACATCCTGAAGTCTACTCAACAGTCTTTTATCTACCAATACATAATCCAACAAACTACTGTCATTTTGCCCTACGTCATATCTTGTATACTTATTTATCCTCTTTTCTTAAAATATGTATTACCTATAACTAAACCCGTTTCTTTACAAAGTTCAATCAAAGGGCTCCCATTATCATTTACACCTGGCACCCCAAACTTACCTACCACACCCTCTCTAAAAGTTTCTCCTACTTTAGCATTCAGGTCCCCTATCACAATTACTCTCTCACTTGGTTCAAAGGCTCCTATACATTCACTTAACATCTCCCAAAATCTCTCTCTCTCCTCTGCATTCCTCTCTTCTCCAGGTGCATACACGCTTATTATGACCCACTTTTCGCATCCAACCTTTGCTTTAATCCACATAATTCTTGAATTTACACATTCATATTCTCTTTTCTCCTTCCATAACTGATCATTCAACATTACTGCTATCCCTTCCTTTGCTCTAACTCTCTCAGATACTCCAGATTTAATCCCATTTATTTCCCCCCACCGAAACTCCCCTACCCCCTTCAGCTTTGTTTCGCTTAGGGCCAGGACATCCAACTTCTTTTCATTCATAACATCAGCAATCATCTGTTTCTTGTCATCCGCACTACATCTAGTATTTTTCCTCATGCTATCTACAAATTGTGAGGCCTACTCCACCCAACCCCATATGGGGTGGGGTGTCGGGGTCCCCGGTGTGTGGTTGGTATCCCGCTTGCCTCTCCCAGACAGTCTGAGACTAGTGGGTGCCTCCACACTACCACTCTCTGAAAACTTACCCTACTTCTCCTGTTGTTGCCTTTGCAAGATTGCAGAGCTCCTGATGATGCTCTGAAAAGTGTGAAAGTACTTGAGCTAAAGATTTCCAACCCCTTGGCATGTCTTGCATTGTTAAGATAACCTGTCTGCGATTGCTTTGCATATACATTAGGGCCCCGCTTTACGGCATTTTGCCTTATAGCGTTCCGCTAATACGGCGATTTCAAATTATGACAAAAACTCGCTATACGGCAACCCATCTTTCTAATATGGCACACCCCACTTGGTTTGTTTACATTCTCCATGAACACATCTCTATTATGTCTGAAAACTTTCCATAATTTCAAGTGTTTTAAAGTTACTGCATATTTTACATGTGCTCTGACAATAATACCTGTGCACCTGTACTTATGGTGTTAAAATGTCTATATTAATCCTTTGACTGTCGAAAGCCCTAATCCTGAAGTGTCTCCTGGTGCCGAAAAATATTAAAAAAAAAAAAAATTATTAAAATGTTAAGATTATTTTTCTGATTGTTCCAGTCTTAAAAAAAAAAAAATTTGCCATCAGTACTTACCAAGACATAGAGGCGTGAAGATGGAAGAAAATGAGCTGCGTATGGCAACAGCGGCGACTGCTGCTCAACCCGTAAACTTTGGTTTACTTGTATTTGAAGGTTTCCTGTTTTTTTTTTTTTCACTATTTTATTTTTTCACATAACTTATGTGGCCTGTGAGACTAAAGTATGGTGCAATGTTCACATATACACTCGTTGAATACAACACAATTATAGCAAAAACACTATTATCATCATATTGTTTACAAAGCTTGTTCACACAAACAATATACAATATCTGTTTCATGCTCTGCTGTGAACTTAATAGAAGGTACCAGACCATTAAGTCTAGGTAGGAACTCCTCAATGTTGTGATCTCTAGGCCAGAGGCAAAGCACATCATCTACGTATCTGAACCACCTAGTATTATTTAGGAGAATATCTTTAAGTAGTCTAGTCTCATAAAATTCCAAATACAGGTTGCAGAGTAAGGGGCTGAGGGGATTTTCCATAGCCATACCCTGCTTCTGAGCATAGTACTTCCCTTCAAACACAAACTTGCAATCCATGACGCAAAGTTTAATCAGTTCAATAATTATATTCGTGGGGTAGGGCAAGGAGAAGTTTTCTAGTTCCTCTTCAAGGTATGTAAGCAAGTCAGGGGCTAGTAATCCTTTCTCCTATATACATTACTAAAGATAAAAAATAGAAACTTTTGTTTTTATTTGGGTGAGAAATGGCTGATTTGTTGTAAGAAGATGAATATATATAATATTAATTTCTTTCTTTTTTTATGCAGGTTTGAGTGAGGTTGAACTGGATGAGTCATGGCTGGATAATCTTCATGCTGACCAGGAAGTTACCAGTGAGGTTGAGGATGATGATGATCATGATGATGATGATGATCTGGATGATTATTCTGACCACACTAACACAGCCCCAGGTATAATAATTATTATGACCATACTAACACAGCCCCTGGTATGATCTGGATGATTATTATTGTGAGCACACTAACACAGCCCCAGGTATGATGATGATGATAATGATTGCTCTGAGTCTCGGTTAAGGATGATTGTTTCTGAATAATAGTCGAGTTGAAGATGTGATAGTTCCTCAGAGTGACTGTATTAAGTTGATGATGAGATAGTTCCTCAGAGTGACTGTATTAACTTGATGATGAGATAGTTCCTCAGAGTGACTGTATTAACCCTTTGAGGGTTTCGGACGTACTAGTACGGCTTACGACCCAGGGTTTTTGACGTACTAGTACGCCTAAATTCTAGCGCCCTCAAATCTAGTGGGAGAAAGCTGGTAGGCCTTCATATGAAAGAATGGGTCTATGTGGTCAGTGTGCACAGTCTAAAAAAAATCCTGCAGCACACAGTGCATAATGAGAAAAAAAAACTTTGACCGTTTTTTTGGAATAAAACAGCGACTTTGCACTGTATTTTCGTATGGTATTTATTGTTGTATTCTAGTTTTCTTGGTCTCATTTTATAGAATGGAAGACATATTACAGAAATTGAGATGATTTTGACTGGTTTTACAATGAAAGATACCTTGAAATTGAGCTCAAAGTAGCAGAAATGTTCGATTTTTACCATATTTCAAAAGTAAACAAATCGTGCCAATGATCCAATACACGTCAACTGGTGAGTCTAATATTCTTTCACAAGAGCGCCAATAATATTTATACCATTTTATACACTAATGCAGTAGTCTGCATAACAGTAAATCTTATATTTTTTGTGAGAATAAAAATTCAAAGTGGAAAGCAAAAGAATATAAGAGGGGCCTTGAGATGTGACTAATGACCAGAGGAAATGTCATTTTAGTGCCAGGAATATCTTTCTTGTTTATTCTGGACCCTATTCGGAAATTGGCATCTTTTGAAATTTGTATGAAATTGGCAAAATTGCTAAATTCTGACCACTGTACTGGATAGTTGAATTTCATAAATGGGTGGTTTCTTGCACCCATTCGATAGTAAAGATGGAGTTCTAGCGAAATGTTCAGGTTTTTTTGTCGACTAGTACAGTGGAATTGGCCGAAAATGGGGCTCAAAGTGGGCAAAATTGCCGATGCGTAAACATCCCCGAGACCGCTAACTTCGCGAGAGCATAATTCCGTAAGTTTTCCATCGAATTTCAAACTTTTGGTGTCCTTATGATCGGGAAATGATTGTCTATCTTTTCATAAGAGAAAATTATTTTTTTTTTTTTAAATTTGGCCGACCCTGAGAACGAGTTTCGGAGAGGGCCTGTCGACCCTCAAAGGGTTAGTTGATGATGAGATAGTTCCTCAGAGTGACTGTATTAAGTTGATGATGAGATAGTTCCTCAGAGTGACTGTATAAAGTTGATGATGTGATAGTTCCTCAGAGTGACTGTATTAAGTTGATGATGTGATAGTTCCTCAGAGTGACTGTATTAAGTTATCCATGCTAGACATCCACATAGACTGTACCAGGCTGACTGCTCCATGCTGTAGCTAGTAGTAGTAGTAGTAGTGGTAATAGTGGTGGTATTACTAGTAGTAGTGATAGTGGTGGTATTACTAGTAGTAGTGATAATAGTGGTGATATTACTACTAGTAGTGATAATAGTGGTGGTATTACTAGTAATAGTGATAATAGTGGTGGTATTACTAGTAATAGTAATATATACTCCCCACATATCCAAAACATTGCTGGGACATATAATTTTTTTTTTTCCCCTACAAGTCGGCCGTCTCCCACCGAGGCAGGGTGACCCAAAAAAGAAAGAAAATCCCCAAAAAGAAAATGCTTTCATTATCATTCAACACTTTCACCACATTCACACATTATCACTGTTTTTGCAGAGGTGCTCAGAATACAACAGCTTAGAAGCATATACGTGTAAAGATACACAACATATCCCTCCGAACTGCCAATATCCCAAACCCCTCCTTTAAAGTGCAGGCATTGTACTTCCCATTTCTAGGACTCAAGTCTGACTATATGAAAATAACTGGTTTCCCTGAATCCCTTCACTAAATATTACCCTGCTCACACTCCAAAAGATCGTCAGGTCCCAAGTATCATTTGTCTCCATTCACTCCTATCTAACACGCTCACGCACGCTTGCTGGAAGTCCAAGCCCCTCGCCCACAAAACCTCCTTTACCCCCTTTCTCCAGCCCTTTCGAGGATGACCCCTACTTCACCTTCCTTCCCCTATAGATTTATATGCTTTCCATGTCATTCTACTTTGATCCATATAAATACTTTGTATATGTTCCAAGACAATAGTAAATGGACAAGGCAAATGTAAATGGCCACCTGTCAGTGTGTTTGTGACAATTTGAGTACAATTTCAGTACCTAATACACCTACAATCCGACTTACGACCGAGTTCGGTTCCGAGAAACCGGTCGTAAGTCGAACTTTACTACTGAATATCAACAAAACATTTTTGTAATGACTATTTTATTGTTTTATTTTGATATTTCATGTTTTACTTTTTATGCTGTTAGTACTGTATTTTATACTGTAAGGTTTAGGATAAACACTGTGTACAACACAAATAGTTGTTTATATCCCAGAAATTTGGCATAAAAAACACGGTCGTAAGTCGAGTGGTCGTAAGTCGAGCAGGTCGTAAGTCGGATGGTAGGTACACTAGTGTCAGAACAAAGAATGGTTATGAAATGACAAGAACTACTATAAATTGTAATTATCGGAACATAAAAATTATATAATATGAAAAATATAAAAAAAAAGGTATATCGGCAACACTTCTGCAAGTGGCAGGACTCGATGTTGCTGTCATGTGAGCATCCAGTGCCAACTTCTCCGCCTCATATCTCTGCAAGTACTGACCCTAATTTTTTTTTATTCTAAAACACTTAAAAAGATGTGCTCTTTTTTTTTCTATAAAAACAAGATTTTTTTTTTTTTTCAAAATGTTCAGGGCGCTGCGCAAGTGAACGTATATATACGTTTGGATCATTAAAGGATTAATGTACAGCAGTATTCCAGCCCAGGGAGAACAAGTGGTTTAAAAAGGATCATCATTGGCTTGTTTTGAATGTTCTTATTATCTATCCTGTCATTTTCTTCACAAATGTAATAGTGACAGTGTTGTGATCCTTGAAGGTGAGATCCTCACACATTACCACTCTCAGATCCCTCACATTACTTTTCCACTCTGTTAACATAAGAACATAAGAAAGGAGGAACACTGCAGCAGGCCTGTTGGCCCATACTAGGCAGGTCCTTTACAATTCATCCCACTAACAAAATATTTGCCCAACCCAATTTTCAATGCTACCCAAGAAATAAGCTCTGATGTGAAAGTCCCACTCAAATCCAACCCCTTTCACTCATGTATTTATCCAACCTAAATTTGAAACTGCCCAAAGTCCTAGCCTCAATAACCCAACTAGGTAGACTGTTCCACTCATCAACTACCCTATTTCCAAACCAATACTTCCCTACTTCCTTTCTAAATCTAACCTTGTCTAATTTAAATCCATTACTGCGGGTTCTCTCTTGGAGAGATATCCTCAAGACCTTATTTATATCCCCTTTATTAATACCCATCTTCCACTTATACACTTCGATCAGGTCTCCCCTCATTCTTCGTCTAACAAGTGAATGTAATTTAAGAGACTTCAATCTTTCTTCATAAGGAAGATTTCTAATGCTATGTATTAATTTAGTCATTCTACGCTGAATGTTTTCTAACGAATTTATGTCCATTCTGTAATATGGAGACCAGAACTGAGCTGCATAATCTAGGCGAGGCCTTACTAATGATGTATAAAGCTGCAGTATGACCTCTGGACTTCTGTTGCTTACACTTCTTAATGTAAATCCCAATAATCTATTTGCCTTATTACGTACGCTTAGGCATTGCTGTCTTGGTTTAAGGTTGCTGCTTACCATAACCCCCAAGTCCTTTTCGCAATTTGTATGGCTAAGTTCTACATCATTTAACTTATAAGTGCTAGGGTTATGGACACTCCTGAGTTTCAGAACCTTGCATTTATCTACATTGAACTGCATCTGCCACTTTTCTGACCAAGAATAGAGTTTGTCTAAATCCTTCTGAAGTTCCCTAACATCTACGTTTGAATCAATTACCCTACCTATCTTTGTGTCATCGGCGAATTTGCTCATTTCACTAGTAATTCCCTCATCAAGGTCATTGATATATATTATAAACAACAACGGGCCCAAGACTGATCCCTGTGGAACGCCACTTGTTACAGGTCCCCACTCGGATTTAACCCCATTTATGGACACTCTCTGCTTCCTGTCTGTGAGCCATGACTCGATCCATGAGAGCACTCTTCCCCCAATGCCATGAGCTGCCACTTTCTTTAACAGTCTCTGGTGCAGAACTCTATCAAAAGCCTTACTAAAATCTAAGTAAATAATATCAAATTATTTATCGTGGTCAACAGCCTCAAAAGCTTTACTGAAGAAAGTTAATAAATTAGTTAGACAAGAACGGCCTCTCGTGAATCCATGCTGAGTATCATTAACCCTTTGAGGGTTTTCGTCGTACTAGTACGTTTTACGCGTAGGGGTTTTTGACGTACTAGTACTCATAAATTCTAGCGGCCTCAAATCTAGTGGGAGAAAGCTGGTAGGCCTTCATATGAAAGAATGGGTCTATGTGGTCAGTGTGCACAGTCTAAAAAAAATCCTGCAGCACACAGTGCATAATGAGAAAAAAAAACTTTGACCATTTTTTTTGAATAAATCAGCGACTTTGCAGTGTATTTTCGTATGGTATTTATTGTTGTATTCTAGATTTCTTGGTCTCATTTTATAGAATGGAAGACATATTACAGAAATTGAGATGATTTTGACTGGTTTTACAAAGAAAGGTGCCTTGAAATTGAGCTCAAAGTAGCAGAAATGTTCGATTTTTACCAAACTTCAAAAGTAAACAAATCGTGCCAAGCGTGCAATACACGTCAACTGGTGAGTCTAATATTCTTTCACAAGTGCACCAATAATATTTATACCATTTTTTACACTAATGCAGTAGTCTGCATAACAGTAAATCTTATATTTTTTTGTGAAAATAAAAATTCAAAGTGGAAAGCAAAAGAATATAAGAGGGACTTGAGACATGACTAATGACTAGAGGAAATGTCATTTTAGTGCCAGGAATGTCTTTCTTGTTTATTCTGGACCCTATTCCGAAATTGGCATCTTTTGAAATTTGTGTGAAATTGGCAAAATTGCTAAATTCTGACCACTGTACTGGATAGTTGAATTTCATAAATGAGTGGTTTCTTGCATCCATTCGATAGAAAAAATGGAGTTCTAGCGAAATATTCATGTTTTTTGTCGACTAGTACAGTGAAATTGGCCGAAAATGGGGCTCAAAGTGGGCAAAATCGCCGATGCGTAAACATCGCCGAGACCGCTAACTTTGCGACAGCATAATTCCGTAAGTTTTCTATCAAATTTCAAACTTTTGGTGTCTTTATGATTGGGAAAAGATTCTCTATCTTTTCATAAGAGAAAATAATGTTTTTTTTTTTTTAAATTTGGCCGACCCTGAGAACGAGTTTCGGAGAGGGCCTGTCGACCCTCAAAGGGTTAATCAAGCTATGCTTATCGAGATGGCTTCTTATAATCTCAGCTATAATTCACTCTAGTAATTTGCCTACAATTGAGGTCAGGCTTATTGGGCGGTAATTTGACGGTAATGACTTGTCCCCTGCTTTCAAAATAGGAATTACATTAGCCATCTTCCACATTCAGACACTACTCCTGTTTGAAGAGATAAATTAAAAATATTAATTAATGGCTCACAGAGTTCCATTTTGCATTCCTTAAGAACCCTTGAAAAAAAGCTCATCGGGACCCGGCAACTTATTTTGCTTCAGTCGGTCTATTTGTTTCATAACCATTTCACTAGTGACTGTGATGTTACATAATTTATCTTCTTTAGTCCCACTATAAAAATTAATTACTGGAATATTGTTAGTGTCTTCCTGTGTAAAAACCGAGAGAAAATAATTATTTAAAATTGAGCACATTTCATTCTCCTTGTCAGTAAGATGCCCATAGTTATTTTTAAGGGGACCTATCTTATCTCTAACTTTCGTTCTATAGACCTGGAAAAATTTTTTGGGTTAGTTCTCGAATCCCTAGCAACTTTAATTTCATATTCCCTTTTAGCTTTTCTTACCCCCTTTTTAACGTCCCTTTTAACCCTTTCAGGGTCCTAACCGTAGATCTACGTCATGAGCTCAGCTCACTCTGATAAACTGTGAGTGGTAAATTTGGGCCTAGATATGAGAGCATACATCTATGTGGTATATGTGCACCACATAAAACAAATCCTGCAGCACACTGTGTATAATGAGAGAAAAAAACTGAGACCATGATTTTCGATTAAAACAGCGACTTTGCAGTGTTTTTTCGTATGTTTTTTTATAGTTGTATTTGTGATTTCTTGGTCTCATTTGATAGAATGGAAGACATATTACAGAAATAGAGATAATTTTGATTGGTGTTAGCACTGGAAATGGCTTGAAATTGAGCTCAAAGTGGCGGAAATGTTAAATTTTTGCCGATGTTCAAGAGTAAACAAACGACCTCACACGTCTAATACACGCCAGCTGGTGGGTCTAATATACATTCACAAATGTGGTGATGATATTTATACAATTATTACAATATTGCATAACAGTAAATCTTCTATTTTTTGGTGTGAATAAAAATTCATTATGTGAATAAAAAATAAAAATGGAATTTATTTGTAAAGCCTCAAAACATAACTAACGAACAGAGGAAATGTTAGTTTAGTGCCAGGAACACCTACATTGTTTATTCTGGACCCTATTTTGAAACTGGAATATTTTGAACTTTGTGTTAAATTGGCCAAATTACCAATTTCCGGTCACTTTATTTTGTAGTTGAAACAGTTGACTTGGCGATTTCTTGTGCTCAATCGATAGAATAGAAGTAATACTAGTGAAATGGCTGAGAATTTGGTTGACTGGAATAATGTAATTGGCCTAAAATGGGAGTCAAAGTCGGCAAAATCGCCGATTCGTAAATATCACTGACACATCAAAATTCACGAGAGCATAATTTCGTCAATTTTCCATCAAATTTCGTACTTTTTGTTTTAGTACATTCACAAAAAGATTCTCTACCATTTCATAAGAAAAAATAACAATTTTTTTTTTTTTGAAAATTCTTGGACACTGGGGCACCACTTCAGATTTTGGCCTTGGACCCTGAAAGGGTTAATGTCAATATACTGATTCATAAGATGACCCTCCCCTCTTTTGCTATGCCTATAAATTCCTTTCTTTTGCCCTAGTAGATATTTCAGCCTATTATTCATCCATTTTGGGTCATTTCTATTTGATCTAATTTCTTTATACGGGATAAACGTTCTTTGAGCAGCATGTACGGTGTTCAGAAAACTGCCATATTGATAGCTCTCTTCATTACCCCAGTCAACAGATGAATAGTGTTCTCTAAGCCCATTGTAATCTGCTAAGCGAAAATCTGGAACTGTTACTGAGTTGTCTCTACTATCATGCTTCCATTCTATGCTAAAGGTAATTGATTTGTGATCAATTGTGCCGAGTTCCTCATTAATCTCTAAATTATTAACAAGGGTTTCCTTGTTCGCCAGAACCAAATCAAGCAGGTTATTTCCCCTTGTAGGTTCTGTCACAAACTGCTTCAAAAAACATTCCTGAACTACTTCTAAGAAGTCGTTTGATTTTAAATTCCCAGTCAAGAAATTCCAATCAATATGACTAAAGTTAAAGTCTCCTGGAATTACTACATTATCGTGCCTTGTGGCCTTAACAATTTCCTCCCATAGTAGTCTCCCTTGGTCCCTATCTAAGTTTGGGAGATGGTATATCACACCTAATATCAATTTTTCAAGTCCCTCTGAAAATTCTATCCAAACAGACTCTGTATATGTTACTTCAGCATTAATACCCGTTTTTATGCAACAGTTCAAGCGATCTCGGACATACAATGCCACCCCACCCCCCTTCCCGATACTTCTGTCTACTTGGAACAATTTAAAACCCTGTATGTGACATTCAGCAGGCATGTCCCGATTTTTCGTATTGAACCACGTTTCAGTCAAGGCAAATACATCAATGTTACCTGCACTGGCAACTAGTCTCAACTCATCCATCTTATTCCTAGTACTACGACTATTTGAGTAACATATATTTAAGGACCCCCTTTCTCTTTACCCTTCCTGCTCCTTTCTGTTATTCCACTAAACCTATTACTGTCCTTGTCACCTAGTGCCACTGGCTTTCCATTATCCACCTCATTTTGCCTATTTCTAGTTCTCCTAGTACTCATAATACTACACTGGGACTTCGCTGTTTTCCCGCCAAAACCCATACCACTAACTATTCCTAGTTGAAAGACCTAACAGCTCCCTCCACTGCATTGGCCAATGCTCCCACCCCAAGCCTAGATAAGTGAACCCCATCCCTGGCATACATGTCATTTCTGCCATAGAAGAGGTCCAGTTGTCAACGAATGTTACCGCATTTTCCTTACAGTATTTGTCCAGCCAGCAATTGACACCAATTGCCCTGGACAACCATTCATTTCCAACTCCTCTCCTTGGCAAAATACCACATGTGACAGGGTTCCCACCCTTCCTCCTAATTATCTCTATTGCTGTCCTATTCCTGCTAATCAGGTCCTCACTCCTATGTCTGCCAACATCGTTGCCTCTAGCACTGAGACAGATAATAGGATTGCTCCCATTACCTCTCATAATGTCATCCAGACGGCTAACAATGTCCTCCATCCCAGCTCCAGGAAAGCAAACCCTGTGTCTCCTACTCCTGTCCTTCAAGCAGAACGCCCTATCCATGTATCTAACCTGGCTATCCCCAACAACAACAATATTCTTACCTTCCTTGTTGTCGTTCGTCGTGACGATCCCAGTAGTCGACTCACATTCGTCGGGTAGCACAGAGAATGCGTTGGAGGTTTCCACAAGAGTTTCCTCAGCAGTCTCTTTCTTCTTCGTCGTTTCTGGCTTTCCATTCGTCTAGTTGTATAACTAGAGTTTGTAATTTACTCATTTCTAATTACGTATTATCTCCAATGATTATCTTCCATCTCTTACGTTTTACATCTGTCTTGTTTTGCAACATCTGTCTTGATTTACAACATCTCTCTTGTGTTTTACATCATCTCTCTTGTGTTTTACATCACAAGTGTTGTCTTACAAAGTATATCTTGTTTTACAGGTTCTTCGGCAGACCTGGAGACCATAGACAACATCACAGCGTACCTGGCAGCCTCGGCAGCACCCTCCACGAAGCCCCCTCACTCACCCTCAACATCAGCAATAACACACAAGTCACAACAGAAATCCTCAACTCTTTTCTCCAAGCAATCTACATCCAGGGTACCATCCTTCACAGGTATACTGCCAGGGTACCATCCTTCCCAGGTATACTGCCAGGGTACCATCCTTCCCAGGTATACTACCAGGGTACCATCTTTCTCAGGTATATTGCCAGGGTACCATCCTTCCCAAGTATACTCCCAGGGTTCCATCCTTCCCAGGTATACTCCCAGGGTACCATCCTTCCCAGGTATACTCCCAGGGTACCATCCATCCCAGGTATACTGCCAGGGTACCATCCTTCTCAGGTATACTGCCAGGGTACCATCCTTCCCAGGTATACTGTCAGTGTACCATCATTCTCAGGTAAACTGCCAGGGTACCATCCTTCTCTGGTATACTATCAGGGTACCATCCTTCCCAAGTATTCTGCCAGGTTATCATCAGTCTTGTAGTATTTATGAGGTTGTCAGTCCGTCAGTCCTAAGAAGGCTTTATCTGGGAAGTTACTAAATGGTGTAAAGAATTTTTATGAGGATAGTGAGGCTCAGATTAGGGTGTGTAGAAGAGAGGGAGACTACTTCCCGGTAAAAGTAGGTCTTAGACAGGGATGTGTAATGTCACCATGGTTGTTTAATATATTTGTAGATGGGTTGTCAAAGAAGTAAATGCTAGGGTGTTGGGGAGAGGGGTGGGATTAAATTATGGGGAATCAAGTACAAAATGGGAGTTGACACAGTTACTTACTGCTGATGATACTGTGCTTATGGGTGATTCTAAAGAAAAGTTGCAAAGGTTAGTGGACAAGTTTGGGAGGGTGTGTAAAGGTAGAAAGTTGAAAGTGAATTAGGCAAGAGTAAGGTGATTTTTTTTTTTTTTTTTTTAACAAGTCGGTCATCTCCCACCGAGGCAGGGCGACCCAAAAAGAAAGAAAATCCCCCTCCCCCAAAAAAAAAAATATATATTTTCATCATCATTCAACACTTTCACCTCACTCACACATAATCACTGTTTTTGCAGAGATGCCCAGAATATAACAGTTTAGAAGCATATACGTATAAAGATACACAACATATCCCTCGAAACTGCCAATAACCTGAACCCCTCCTTTAAAATGCAGGCACTGTACTTCCCATTTCCAGGACTCAAGTCCGATTATATAAAAATAACTGGTTTCTCTGAAGTGAATGTTTTCAGATATTTGGGAGTTGACTTGTCAGCAGATAGGTTTATGAAGGATGAGGTTAACCATAGAATTAATGAAGGAAAGAAGGTGAGTTGTGCATTGAGGTATCTGTGGAGACAAAAAACATTATCTGTGGAGGCAAAGAAGGGAATGTATGAAAGTATAATGGTACCAACACTCTTATATGGGTGTGAGGCTTGGGTTGTAAATGCTGCAGCGAGGAGGCGGTTGGAGGCAGTGGAGATGTCCTATCTAAGGGCAATGTGTGGTGTAAATATTATGCAGAGAATTTGGAGTGTGGAAATTATGAGGTGTGGAGTCCTTTTGGGCCACCCCGCCTCGGTGGGATACAGCCGATGTGTTGAAAGAAAAGAAAGTGTGGAGTTAATAAAAGTATGAGTCAGAGGGCTAAGGAGAGGTTGTTGAGATGGTTTGGTCATTTAGAGAGAATGGAACAAAGTAGAATGACTTGGAGAGAGTGTAAATCTGTAGGGGTTATGTAGGCGGGGTAGGGGTCGTCCTTGAAAAGGTTGGAGGGACGGGGTAAAGGAGGTTTTGTATTTCCAGCAAGTGTGCATGAGCATGTTAGATAGGAATGAATGGAGACGAATGATTTTGGGACCTGATGAGCTCTTCGAGTGGTCAGTTTGGCCAATTTCACAGAAATTTCAAAAGATGCCAATTTCAAAAAGGGTCCAGAATGAACAATGCAAACATTCCTGGAAATAAAATAACATTTTCTCTGTTCATCAGTCACGTCTCCAGGCTCCTCTTATATTACTCATGCTTTCCATTTTGAGTTATTATTCTCACAAAAAATAGAAGATTTACTGTTATGCAGACTACTGCATTATTGTAATAATTGTATAAATAATGTCAACCCATTCATGACTGTGTATTAGACTGACCAGTTGGACACGTATTGGAAGTCGAGGTCATTTGTGCACTGCACTCTTGAACGTTTGCAAAAATCGAACATTTCTGCTACTTTGAGCTCAATTTCAAGGTATTTTCATCATGAAACCAATCAAAATCATCTCACTTTCTGTAATATGTCTTCCGTTCTATCAAATGAGACCAAGAAAACAAGAATACGACCATATGAAAATACACCTCAAAGTTGGCATTTTAACCCTTTGACTGTTCCAACCTTAAATCATGAGGTGTCTCCTCGTTTCGCAAAATATTTGAAAAAAAAAAAAATTATTTTTTCTCATAAAATGATAAGAGAATCTTTTCCCGATTGCAATGACACCAAAAGTACGAAATTTGATGAAAAACTCACGGAATTACTTTTTTGCGAAGTTGGCGACCTCGACGATATTTACTAATTGGCGATTTCGCCCACTTTGAACCCTATTTTCGACTAATTCCATTGTTCCAGTCGACCAAACTCATAACAATTTCTTTAGAACTCAATTTGTTCTATCGATTGAGTACAAGAACCTGCCCATTTACCAATTTTAACTATTCAGTAAAGTGGTCAGAAATTGGCAATTTGGCCAATTTCACGCAAATTAAAAAATATGCTAATTTCAATATAGGGTCCAGAATGAACAATGCAGACATTTCTGGCTCTAAAATAACATTTTCTTTGTTCATCAGTCATGTCTCCAGGCCCCTCTGATATTACTCTTGCTTTCTATTTTGAATTTTTATTCAAACAAAAAATAGAAGATTTATTGTTATGCAGACTACTGCAATATTGCAATATTATTAACACGCTTGCCGATTCCCACCAAGGCAATCGGCCAGTGTGTTAATAATATTGCAGTATTGCAGCAGTCTGCATAACAATAAATCTTCTATTTTTTGTTTGAATAAAAATTCAAAACAGAAAGCAAAAATATTGCAATAATTGTATAAATAATGTCAACTCATTCATGACTGCATATTAGAATGGCTAGTTGGACATTTATTGGACAATGACTTCATTTGTTTACTCTTGAACATTGGCAAAAATCAAACATTTCCCCTACTTTGACCTCCATTTCAAGGTCCTTTTCATAGTAAAACCAATCAAAATCACCTCTGTTTTTATAACATGTTTTCCATTCTGTCAAATGTGACTATGAAAACGAGAATATAAAATAAAAACTATATGAAAATACAACTCAAAATCAGTGTTTTAATCCAAAAACACGGTCAGAGTTTTTTTTTCTCATGATGCACTGTGTGCTGCAGGATTTTTTTTATATGGTGCACACTGACCACACAGACACATTCTCTCACATGTGAGTGTTCCAGCTTTCTCCTGCTTGATTTAAAGCCATTAGAATTTTTGAGTATGTATATGTACGTCAAACACATTGGCTCGTAAGATGTATTTATACGACCGAAACAGTCGGAGGTTTTTTTCTCATTATGCACTGTGTGCTGCAGGGTCCACACTGACCACCCTGACCTGTTCTCTCACATGTAGGTCTACCAGCTTTCTCCTGCTAGATTTGAAGCCGCTAGAATTTTGAGGTATTTTTCTGTCTCATAAATGCGCTGGATGACATAAGTCGAACCTTAGAAAATTGCTGATAGGGATACTTCAAAAATTAAATCTTAATCTTGTAAAGCAATCATTCTTTTGTTTGTTTTGGAAATAACTTCAGTTCAATAGCCGAAAGTGAGCACATACCCGAGTACTAGAGAAATATTTTTTCCCTCCCAAAATCCCTTTTTTATCAGTGTTATCGTAAATTATGAGTGTCTATTACAGTTTGCCCTCATGCTAGATCCATTTTCTCTCGTAAGAGTGACAAAATAAGGGGTAATAAGCCTTATGCTCGATGGTGTCCACAAAGTCCCTTTTGTATCTGCACAGCAGGCCTTCATATTATGCTAGATAATGTTTATTCTGGCATATTTTTTATGTTTCTATGCTATTGATATTTCACCTTATGTCATAATAGATCAATTGTGATAGGTTAATAAACCTTTTTGTTGATATTAGTGTAAGAATAGAATATTTTATCACCTGCTCTCTCTTGCTTATGTCAGCACTTCTACCCAGAAGATTCCTGTATATCAATAACACAATTATTGTAATGATTTTATTTTATCATTTTGTATTTCATTTTTTACTTTACTTTTTAAGCTGTTAGTACTGTATTTTATATTGTAAAGTTTAGGAGAAACACTGTGCACAACACACAGTTTTTTATTTCCGAGAACATTTGCATACAAAACAATGTCTTTTAGTGAGAATCCTCCTGAGAACAGTAAACCTTGTCATCACGTAATTGCTACTACATAAAGGACATGCCCAGTTTGGGCCAATAGGCCTGCTGCAGTGTTCCTCCTTTCTTATGTTCTTATATAATAGAGAAGGGACACTGAAACATGCCTTCTCAAATCCATCCATCCATATACATTTGCTCAAACTATTTTTTATGCTACCCAAGCCATAGCTTTTGTAACCTTTCTTTCTTGTGTAACAGCTGACTTTTTTCACCACATGTATAACTACTACTACTACCTCTGCTTGTGTGGGCGAAACATTGTCAGTAAAGGATCACATTACAGTGGACCCTCAATTAATGATGCCATCGGAGAGCGATAAAATTGGATACCGATATGTTTTTGCGTCAAGATATTGGCTCGGCTAACGATAAAAAACTAAGGTAATGACATTCACCCAGAACGTGTTTGCACGGCCTGAGCTGCCTGGTCACTCCAGTGTGGCTAATGTGCCATTGTTTACAAGCCACTGCGGACGATTCCACACGTACATGCGATACAATTTGTATTATTCCATTGTTTTTAGTGCTTGTAACTGCTAAATTAGCCACCATGGTCCCAGAGAAAGCTTCTAGTGCCAGCCAGCCCTTTGGTAAAGGGCTGAGAGAGAGGGAAGAATGCTCCTTTATCGGTGATTCTGCAATATGTACGATACTAAAGCAGCAGGAGTCTATAAAGGCTATAGCGGCAGCCAGCGATAAAGTGTAGCATTAACTGTAGCCAGTAAGTTAAGCGATTAATCGATAGAAAAGGACAGCACGAACCTAACTCCTCTAATGTTGTTGGAGTTATGTAGGGCGACTGATAACACCGCCGTCTCTAGACTCTACCTCTGCTGCCTCCACTGCTACTATGTACGGCTTATGCTCTCAGTGGCCCTTATACACCCAACAACACAGCAACACTCGTGACATACTTAATGACGTATTTTATTCATTCTAGAGTATTTGTCATGTTTCTATGTTATTAATATTGTTTATTATGTCATATTAGATGAATTGTGCTAGATAAATAAGCCGTAGAGCTGATATTAGTGTCATATTGAAGGACTATCTTGCATCTCCCAACACAGTTCCTAACATACTCCAGAAACAGACCTCTCTGGAAAACTTTTTCGAGCGACAGGGGTCCAGTGGCTCTCAAGCTGGTCGTAGTGGCATTAAAAAACGAAGGGGGAAAGTAACCCAAAATAAGGACTTGGTACCTGAAGTCTTTATGGAGTGAGATTCCTCTTCCAAACAGTTGTAAACTCCTCCATCCTCTCCCCTCCTCCTGTCTTCAATAAAAGTAAGCGTGATGTTATTATTGTTTTATTGGTTTTGTTTCATGATTGTGGCATACTATTTTCCTGTATAATGCTCTGTAGGTGTCGAGTCATTGTTGAGGACTGAGTACCTTGGCTATATCGGGGGATGTTGATGAGTTGTAGTTGATGCTGTCATTTGAGGTGAAGTGGTCTTGTAGGTTAGCCATGTTTGATGGTGTGTGGTCAGCTAGGGTGTGGGAAATGGGTAAAGATGAAGATCAGCTGACACATTTAAATGAAGGCTAGTCTTCTGCCATGATTGTTATTGTGTAGCCCTGGGCATTGGTAAGGGGGTGGATGATGCACTGGTGTCCTCCAGGGTAGACATGATGTGTAACATATTCCTTGGTGTTTTGATGTTGTTTTCGGAGTTATTTGTCCCATGTTTCCCTCCCATGGCAAGACTGGTTCAGTTACAGAGAATTAAGTGGTACATATCACTAGGCTGGTTGTATGTCTGGCAGCAGGGCTGATGTTTGGTATGCCGGGCAGTCCGCTTTTACTCATATTTGGTCAGTTTGTAGACATCATGTCAGTTTTCTACGTTCCACATATGTTAGTGCAGTAATACTTGCAATCGGACCATCATAGGAGTTTGGATCGGCACCATTGATGCTGCCATTGCTCAACTGTTTCTGTAACACTCTGTTACTTGTCCAGACTATTAATATTAGGTTAATTAAATTTCAAATTAACTTGATTAAGATCTATAATGCTATTGTTTTTAGGTCAGAAGAAAGTCTGTGGAGGCAGTGAGCAAGTTGACCCACTGAGCCATTTAGCAAGTGGTACTGCAGATGGCACCAAAGATGTCACCAAGACACAAAACAAGGTTAACATCAAGAAGGAACATGGTGTGAATGATACACAAGGGGAGAGTTCCTTTATGACACCTGCCTTCACTGATGCTGCCTTCCACCAGCACGACGAACATGAGGCCAAGTGTGAAATATTGGCCACCAAGCGCAAGATCTTCCACAAGGAGCCACTGGTGACCCACGAAATAAGCAGCACGGACGGTGCCAATAAAGTAACCACAAGTGTCACGCATGAGGAAGATGTCACCCAGGTGATAGTGTTGACACAGAGAGATGCACATAATGGCACCTCCACTACCTCTGCCTCCAACACCTTGAAAGCCTCCACTCCCACACTTAAACTGAGTCGTGGGTCCCACTCCAGCACTCCCACCCCACGAAAAATAGTAAGTATTGATACTCTTGTTCATTATGTGTGTACCAAGAACACTAGAACATATATATCAATATCCTATTTAACCTGATTATAAGAACATGATTGGAAACAAACCACAGAATTGGTGTGGTTTGAATCTGTGGTGAGTGATTGGTAAAAGTCCAGTCTAGTGTATAAGCTGGACCAGCTGGCCACTGTGACCACAAATGCTTTGAGGAGATTTGAGCTGGAGTTTACCACAGCCAAACCATACCCCGGCCGGGATTGAACCCGCGGTCAGAGAGTCTCAAAACTCCAGACCATCGCATTAGCCACTAGACCAGCTAGCGGGTTCAATCCCGGCCGGGGTATGGTTTGTTTGCAATCGTGTCATTACGATACCACAGCCACTCTGTCAGGAGATTCATCTGTAAAAACTTTCATTCATGGTCACGGCGAGGCCCATGCTAACCTACTTATGATGAATAGAAATATACCTAAATAACAAAAAGGCACAATACTGTGACATAAACAATGTACAAATACCCCCCCCCCCCCTAGGAGAGAGGAGCTTATGACAATGTTCCGATCTGATTTGGACCATTTACAAAGTCACACTATCACACTAACAGGAAGGAGAAAAGTATATATTAGCAAGCTGCCAGGGACGGGACAAGAGAGGTAGGAAGGGGCTCCGTTCCTAAGACCACGTCGGTCAACGAGTACATCGCTAAGTGAGTTGAGGCTGTATATACTCCCTCCTTCTCTCCTTCCTGTTAGTGTGACTTTGTAAATGGTCCAAGTCAGACTGAAACGTCATCATAAGCTCCTCTCTCCTATATGCAGGTTATTTGTGTAGAAATATACTTAGCTGGGTGAGTCTTTTTAGATCCAGCTGGACCAGTGACTGACACACGGACCTGGAGTTTTACCACTCACTCACCATGGGTACGTCTTGCTACTTCTACTTACACTTTGGTCACACTACATATGTTTGTACACATGTATGTTTACACATCTGAATTTTCTATTTTCTTAATAGTTCTTGTCCTCATTTATTTCCTTTAATCTCCATGGAGAAATAGAAAAATGGTCTTTATTGTGTAAGAGGGGACAAAAATACCGGGAGCAAGGTACCTTCCTTTCTCATTACATTGCCAAATGCATATACGTATAAAGCATATACGTATAAAGATACACAACATATCCCTCCAAACTGCTAATATCCCAAAACCCCTCCTTTAGATTGCAGGCATTGTACTGCATTTTTAAAACTATTCCAGCCCTCTTCAACCCTCCCACTACTTATCTTTGCACTAGCCCACCTTTCTGCCAATAGTCGTTTATATCTCACCCGAACTTCCTCCTCCCTTAGTTTATACACTTTCATCTCCCTCTTACTTGTTGTTGCCACCTTCTGCTTGTCCCATCTACCTCTTACTCTAACTGTAGCTACAACTAAATAATGATCCGATATATCAGTTGCCCCTCTATAAACATGTACATCCTGGAGCCTACCCATCAACCTTTTATCCACCAATATATAATCCAACAAACTACTCTCATTACGTGCTACATCATAACTTGTATATTTATTTATCCTCTTTTTCATAAAATATGTATGTAGGAAAGAGGAAAATTTTTTCCCAGTAAAAGTAGGCCTTAGACAAGGATGTGTGATGTCACCGTGGTTGTTTAATATATTTATAGATGGGGTTGTAAGAGAAGTAAATGCGAGGGTCTTGGCAAGAGGCGTGGAGTTAAAAGATAAAGAATCACACACAAAGTGGGAGTTGTCACAGCTGCTCTTTGCTGATGACACTGTGCTCTTGGGAGATTCTGAAGAGAAGTTGCAGAGATTGGTGGATGAATTTGGTAGGGTGTGCAAAAGAAGAAAATTAAAGGTGAATACAGGAAAGAGTAAGGTTATGAGGATAACAAAAAGATTAGGTGATGAAAGATTGAATATCAGATTGGAGGGAGAGAGTATGGAGGAGGTGAACGTATTCAGATATTTGGGAGTGGACGTGTCAGCGGATGGGTCTATGAAAGATGAGGTGAATCATAGAATTGATGAGGGAAAAAGAGTGAGTGGTGCACTTAGGAGTCTGTGGAGACAAAGAACTTTGTCCTTGGAGGCAAAGAGGGGAATGTATGAGAGTATAGTTTTACCAACGCTCTTATATGGGTGTGAAGCGTGGGTGATGAATGTTGCAGCGAGGAGAAGGCTGGAGGCAGTGGAGATGTCATGTCTGAGGGCAATGTGTGGTGTGAATATAATGCAGAGAATTCGTAGTTTGGAAGTTAGGAGGAGGTGCGGGATTACCAAAACTGTTGTCCAGAGGCTGAGGAAGGGTTGTTGAGGTGGTTCGGACATGTAGAGAGAATGGAGCGAAACAGAATGACTTCAAGAGTGTATCGGTCTGTAGTGGAAGGAAGGCGGGTAGGGGTCGGCCTAGGAAAGGTTGGAGGGAGGGGGTAAAGGAGGTTTTGTGTGCGAGGGGCTTGGACTTCCAGCAGGCATGCATGAGCGTGTTTGATAGGAGTGAATGGAGACAAATGGTTTTTAATACTTGACGTGCTGTTGGAGTGTGAGCAAAGTAACATTTATGAAGGGATTCAGGGAAACCGGCAGGCCGGACTTGAGTCCTGGAGATGGGAAGTACAGTGCCTGCACTCTGAAGGAGGGGTGTTAATGTTGCAGTTTAAAAACTGTAGTGTAAAGCACCCTTCTGGCAAGACAGTGATGGAGTGAATGATGGTGAAAGTTTTTCTTTTTCGGGCCACCCTGCCTTGGTGGGAATCGGCCAGTGTGATAATAAAAATAATAATAATGTATTACTTATTACCAAATCTCTTTCTACACATCTCAATTAAAGGTTCCCCATTTACATTTGCCCCTGGCACCCCAAATTTACCTACTGCTCCCTCCATAACATTTTTACCCACTTTAGCATTGAAATCCCCAACCACAAGTACTCTCACACTTGGTTCAAAACTCCCCACGCTTTCACTCAACATTTCCCGAAATCTCTCTCTCTCTCTCTCATCTACACTTCTCTCTTCCCCAGGTGCATATACGCTTACTATAACCCACTTTTCACATCCAACCTTTATTTCACTCCACATAATTCTTGAATTAATACATTTATAGTCCCTCTTTTCCTGCCATAGCTTATCCTTCAACATTATTGCTACTCCTTCTTTAGCTGTAACTCTGTTTCAAACCCCTGACCTAATCCCATTTATTCCTCTCCACTGAAACTCTCCCACCCCCTTCAGCTTTGTTTCACTTAAAGCCAGGACATCCAGTTTCTTCTCATTCATAATATCCACAATCATCTCTTTCAGAAAGATCTCTTTCTTATCATTTGCACAACATCTATGCACATTCAGACTTCCCACTTTGGCAATTTTCTTCTTATTCTTTTTAGTAATCTCTATACAGGAAAAGGGGATACTAGCCCATTGTTCCCGGCATTTTAGTTGACTTTTACAACACGCATGGCTTATGGAGGAAAGATTCTTATTCCACTTCCCCATGGATATAAGAGGAAAAGTAATAAGACCAAAAACTATTAAAATAAAATCAGATAAAACTCAGATGAGTGTGTATAAATAAACGTGTACATGTATGTGTATTGTTTACCTGGAGTTTACCTGGAGAGAGTTCCGGGGGTCAACGCCGCTGCGGCCCGGTCTGTGACCAGGCTTCATATGGAAGGAAAAGTAATAAGAAACAAGAACTATCTAGATAAAATCAAAGAAAACTGAGATGAGTGTTTTAAATAAACGTGTATGTGTATGTGTAGTGTGACCTAAGTGTAAGTAGAAGTAGAAAGACATACCTGTAATCTTGCATATTTATGAGACAGACAAAAGACTCCAGCAATCCTACCATCATGCAAAACAATTACAGGCTTTCATTTTACACTCACTTGGCAGGACGGTAGTACCTTCCTGGGTGGTTGCTGTCTACCAACCTACTACCTATAAATATATATATATATATATATCGGATGGGGTCCACCTCTGGTGTAAATTGTGGGACCCATAGCCTCGGAAAAGTGGATAAAAAGGCTTCAAAGATGAATATTTGGATTTCTTCCTGAAGCCGTTTGAATATTCCACTTTCCCTACCACCCCATCTTTTCATATTTTTTTTTTTACCAGTAGGAATATTTTAATACATAATATGGTACAAAAGATTGAAGAGATATATTGTTTATATAAAGGTGGCATATACAGTACATGTTATGTGTGTATCACCGATTATAGGACGAAAATCTCATCCAGGTCCTCAGAGGTGTTGTGTGTGTATATATATATATATATTTTTTTTTTTTTTTTTTTTTTCAACAAGTCGGCCGTCTCCCACCGAGGCAGGGTGACCCAAAAAAGAAAGAAAATCCCCAAAAAGAAAATACTTTCATCATCATTCAACACTTTCACCACACTCGCACATTATCACTGTTTTTGCAGAGGTGCTCAGAATACAACAGTCTAGAAGCATACACATATAAAGATACACAACATATCCCTCCAAACTGCCAATATCCCAAACCCCTCCTTTAAAGTGCAGGCATTGTACTTCCCATTTCCAGGACTCAAGTCCGACTATATGAAAATAACCGGTTTCCCTGAATCCCTTCACTAAATATTACCCTGCTCACACTCCAACAGATCGTCAGGTCCCAAGTACCATTCGTCTCCATTCACTCCTATCTAACACGCTCACGCACGCTGCTGGAAGTCCAAGCCCCTTTCCCACAAAACCTCCTTTACCCCCTCTCTCCAACCCTTTCGAGGACGACCCCTACCCGCCTTCCTTCCCTATAGATTTATATGCTTTCCATGTCATTTACTTTGATCCATTCTCTCTAAATGACCAAACCACCTCAACAACCCCTCTTCTGCCTCTGACTAATACTTTTATTAACTCCACACCTTCTCCTAATTTCCACACTCCGAATTTTCTGCATAATATTTACACCACACATGCCCTTAAACAGGACATCTCCACTGCCTCCAACCGTCTCCTCGCTGCTGCATTTACCACCCAAGCTTCACACCCATATAAGAGTGGGTTTGGTACTACTATACTTTCATACATTCCCTTCTTTG